CGCAGAAGATTCCATCGAAAAAACAAGAAAACATTTATTCTTCAGTCTCTAATTTTCAAAACAACAAAAAAAAAACGTCCAGGGAACTATTTTATTGATACAAAAAAAGTCCAAGAGAAAAAAAAAGGAAAAAAAAAGAAAGAGTGATTAATAGAGAAAAAAGAGAGGAAGAAAAAGGAAGAAATATAAAAACAAAGAATAAAAATATTAAAAAACAATTTTGAGAGAAATATAGAAAGAAGTATCAAAAAGAAAAAGAAAGAAGTAAAAAAGAAAGAAAGAAAGAAATAGAGACGGAAAAATAAGTAAGAAAGTTAGAAAGATAAGAAGAAAAAGAAAGAAAGATAAAAGCGATAAAGAAAAAAGAAATGAATATAAAAACTAAGAAAAAGAAGAAAAGGAAAAGGAAAGAAAAAACAAGGTTAAGAGCAATAGAGAAATAAATAAAAAAAAAGAAAAAAGAAAGGAAGGAAATATAAAGAAAAAAGAAAGAAAAAATATAAAAAGAAAGGAAAATGAAGGCGGGAAAATAAGTAAGAATGGATGAAAGTGTTATATAGGACAACACAAATCACCTGAGAGCAAAATCAGGCTATCCCATGTTGAATAATGAGTTAACGTGATGGTAAAGGAAATGTATATATGGGAATTAGCATGGCGTCTATAAGTGATCACTATAGGATTACTATTCCGTAATGTTTGGGACATATGTTGAGTTACAATCCACTCTTTTGTCTGTCCGCTGGACACTAATTGGGAATGTTTGCACATTGTGTTGATTTATAGTAAGTGTGATTTTGTAATTGTTTTGTACCTTGTATTTGTGCTTCTTGACAATTTATTGATTTTTGTGAATGGTATAGCCTCCCGCCATGGCGGAGGTGCCTCAGAGAAAACAACCGTTGGACAATACCTCAAAGCACCATAAGCATGGGTGCCAGAATGGCCCAAGAAAGGACCGGAATATTATAAAGAACTTAAAGATAAATATAAAGAACCTATCTCTAATAAAGAAATTTAACCTGTGCTTTCGGTTATGGAGACAGTGGCGGCAAGGTCAATCTCCCTGGTGAGGGTCGATGTCAAGACCAGAAAATTCGTTGCTGTCAGCAGGGAGGCTATGGAGGAAGCCCTAAAGGCTTTGAATAGCGGGACCAAGGTGTTGGCCAGAAGGTCGTATGCCATGTGGGACATCCTGTTTACATCTGAAGAAGCATCCAAACCACAAAGACGAGAAAGCTCCAAACTGAGTAGATGAGCGCACGAAAGACTCGTATTACCTTAAATGGGGTCTCCATGTATATCACGGAGGACTATTTTGCGGATTACGGCCCTGGAGATGGGGTATACTCCATCAAAACTAAATGGGGCCTTGCCAGTAGCGATTTTGATGTCTTAGTGAAATTGACCAGACCCAAGTTTAAGGTGGTACCCAACATGATTACTTTCGGCTGCCGGAATATTTTCGTAATTGTAGATAGTCGTCGCCTCTCCTGTTGGGTTTGTGGTGCGGCCGAACACCTGGCCAACTTGTGTCTAATCTAGAAACCGAGACCAAGGACGAAACCAACACCGAAGCAGTCCAAGGAGGAAGCAGCAAAAAAAGGTCCCGATTAGTGAATGGACTGAGTTGGTGAAGAAGGGAGAGAAGGCGACAACGAGAAGTCAACGGAGGATCCAAGGAACTTTCCCTGAGCTTCCGGTGAATTACGTCCGATATAGGTTCCAGAAGTCTGGGACAAACCGTCGAGGTCTTCACCCACACAGATTTTCATCTAGTTCGTATTTAAAGGACTAAGACTTACAAAAAAGTCCATTAAGCTATCTAGCGTCAATGTGACAGGCTTGAGAGATCAGGAGTAAGGCTGCCTGTCTGTTTCATGATCTTTTGTCCTTTGGTGTGGATGTGGCTGCGATCCAGGAGACACAATTTATTTGCGGCGTTGATGCTAGTGTACTAACACCTTTGTTGTCTATTCAGCATACTGGGACCGGAAGCCCGGAGGGGGGGTTGCTTGTTTCTCAAGCTTTCTCTGGATGCAAGGGCTGACCTTGTTCATGTGTGCGCTCACAGCCGGTTGGTAGTGGCCGATATTGCCATGAACATTGGTTCGTTTCGGGCCGTCCCGGTTTAATCACACAGCGATCAGGTGGAGCGTGTTCACTTTTTCCGCCAGGTGGGGCCGCTCCTGGTGGATTCGTCGCGTTTAGTCTTAATGGGGCGCGGGTATGCCTCCTGGGCCCTACGATAGATAGGGGTCAGTAGCTAGCCTACGTTGGTTAATCTGATCGCCGCGTTTGGGCTCGTTCTCGTTGATAGATACCGAGTCGATCATACGCAGCGGGATATGTGAACGTGCGCTGTTTAGTGGCCATCTCTTCAGGTAGCTAGCTACCTGGACCGAATGTTAGTGAAAAGGGACGAACTAGATCTATTAGATTGTTCTAAGTTCCACCTTTTATACTACTCGGATTATAGATCAGTCTGTGCCCAGATGGTGTTAGGTAGTAGGCCTAGCTTGGCTGGACACTGGAGGTTTAAGCGGGACTTCCAGGAACAGTTGATTAGACTTGTGCTGCGGAATTAGTGGGGTCCCTTATTGGGGGTAGGTGGTGGGGGATGTTTAAGGATGAAATTAGAAACTTCACCACTTAATATAGCCAAAGACTCCATCTAGATAAGGCTAAAAAAGGTGGCTGTGAGATCCCCTGGAGATAGCCGTAGCTAAGTAGACCCTGGAGCGTGAGGCTTGATTAAGCAAGATGTCTGACGAATCTGTGACCATGGGCGCAGAATTGCGCAAAGAAGAGATCCGCCGAGGTTCCGATAGATACATTCGTGAGGTCTTTACCTCGGTCAGTTCGATAGGGATGTCCGCTGTTGCCCTTATTTATGCTTTGTCGTTGGAATACTTCCTCCGTTGGCTAAGGGACAGGGCGTGCAGTCTGGTCCTACGAGGAATCGTTCTTCCAACTGGTAGAGCTCAAGCCATGGTGTCTGTGTACGCTGCAGGCGTATCCATTTCCGTGTCATGCCGCAGCGACATTAAGATGACGCAGAAGGCACTTGAACGGTACGAGAAGGTAACGAGGCCAAGATTAACCGTGGCAAGTCTTCCGGGTTCTGGGAGCATTTGGGTGGAATGATAGTCCTGTACTCATTCTTGGAGTATGGTTCGGGCCTGGATTCAGCTAGAGAAGAATTGGTCAGAAGTATAGTCAAAGGTCAGAGCTTCGGTCCGGACTTGACTCCGAAGGAGTTTGTCCTTAAAGTGTAGAGCTGAGGCAAGAGTCACTTACGTTTTGCCTCCGATCCTTGACCGCTTGGCTGTACTTCCTCTTTGCAGCTCTCGTTGGGAGGCAATCAAGCGTTTGTTGTTTTCCCTCTTGTGGGTGGTTTCAAATATTGAGTCTATAAAATGCCTTTTACCTGCAACTGTATCATGGGGGGGGGGTGGACGGCGGCTGGACGGCGGCTGGTGTTGCCAAAGCTGGCGAGTCTTCATTCTATACTATAGATGTGTTTTGATTAAAATGTTCTAATACATAAAGGTACATTATTTGTTTAAAAAAAAACAAAACATGGATTCTGATTACAGTTCAATGTAATAAAAACTAGAAAAGAAATAATCATAATACGTGTAGCCATGCTGCTTTCTGAACTTTTCCGTTTATGGCAAGACATGTCAGCACCGGAAAAAATTTCGGTTTTGGAGGTTTTCGGATATTAAAATGTCAGATAAAGGATACTCAATTTGTGATAGGATAATTATAACAGATATAATTATCATTAATTCCCTCAATCTAAACTATTGAGATTCGACCCCAATCTTCTCCTCTATACACATAAACACGTGATATTCTCACCAGTGCACTGGTCGTCAACACGGGCGTCAACGAGAATTTCGTCTCTCTTTCCTTATTTAGGACATACTAGTAACATTTATCTTTTAGAACCTCAAGAAAAATTCGAAATTAGGAAAGAACTGGTCACTTTTATTTTCCAACTACATTATCTTGACATGCATTATAAACATCTATAAAAAAAAATGAGAAAGACTGTATACGCATTGCTTATTGTATACTCTTTCCTTGCTGGAAGGGGGTGTTTTTCGTTGGTCTCATCTTATCTTGCCCGTGATCGCTTATCATTTTAGCTCAATCCACTTGATCGGTGTTGCGAAATGTTTTTTGGGTTCAGAGACGAAAAGCATCAACAACGAGAAATTTTAATTTAACTATTATTTTACTAACCACGTCGACGGGTACATCTTCTATCAAGTGGGGTTTACGACAAACCCTATTAAGGTGCCTCTTACAAACAGGAAGTCTCACACGTCCATTTCCTTTGACGTGAAGAAACAACACTCGAATGACCGTTCCCAACTAGTGGGAGGGGTTTGCACAAACGCGACTTAACACGTCTAGTTGGTCTGATGTCCGAACAGCAACACCTCGAAAAAACTTTATCTATGTCATTCCAACGTCCGGCTCAGCATTCGAAATCGACATCCCTATTTTGTCGACCATCTGACTGTAAATGTCTGCCTCAGAAAGTCCCAGCCAAAATACTATGTGGCTAAAATAATAGTTTAAATCTATTATTTAACAATCTAAATTTAACCCCAAACTCATAATTTTACTTAGTATTACTGTTTTTTTTTCTATAAGACCACATAAATATCAGATAATAAGTAATACATCTTTTGTTGTTTCCACCTATTGCTGCTTCTGATTTGTGCTAATATTTTTGTATATATGAAAGTTAGGGAGATTATAATCATTTATTTAGTTATAACTCTCCTACAGTGGGAATGAAATAAAACTATTAATGAACATGTATTTTCTATTTATTGTTTGAATCGGTGTACATCGCCTATTCAGGTTAAAAAATACGAGTAGCTACTAGATGTCTTTTACATATATCCAGAGTCAAACAGTGGATGTTGACTGATGACTCCATATTAATAAATAAACATTTCCTCTACTTTTGGTACTTATGGCCATTTAATGTTGAAACACCGGTACCCCTCCGATCACCAAAGATAAGCAACGTCGATCCTGGTCAGATGCTAGATTGGGTGACCACTTGTGAAAATCAGGTGCTGTAAGCGTGGATGTGCGGTTAGAGATAAGATTTGGAATTGGAAGGTCAAGAAGTCGACATTCAATTCCAGTCGGATTTGTTATTTTCAATTACGCGCTAATTCACTTGTGAAAGTTATGAATTCATTTGTCCAGTACTTATGAGTTAAATAATGATGTAGACATAATTCTGTAGCCTTCTTTAGGTATTAGACTACCACAGAAAGTAACAACCGCCTAGGGTTAGAATTTATCTGAAAAATAATAATAATAATAATGAATGGATTATAGCATCATATATAACAACTAATGTGCAAATAGACAATTCCTTTCCTCAACTACGGGCTAAATAATAGATTTCGTATCAGTAAATTACTATCATATCCATGGAATCTCTAAATAAATAACTTGTGGCTGTAAAAGTTCTGTAATAGTTTGTTAAACCATATGTTCTTTTTGTTACAAAATTAGTATTAGATAAAAGAATCCTAATTAAAAATTTATTTTAGTTGATAATTGTTCATCTAAGCGAATCAGATTATGATTACGATCTATTAGAAATTTTTAATACTGCAATGTCTTTCACACATATCTAATAAATGTAAAAAGCCAATAGCAAAGTGATGGGTGATGCGAGACATGAATTCGTATTAAAAAATGAGAAATATCCTCTTTGAGTAAAATCAAAGGATGTAAAATGAAAGAAGAATCACGAAAAATTACAATGAATGGTTAATTATTCATGTAAGAATAACAGATAAATTTATTATTGCGACATACAAAATCAAGTGAGAAAACGTATGTGAAACAAAGGTTAAAATACATTGATAATTTAATCTAAGAAATTCGGACATCTTTAGATTAGTACATCTCCGCTATTAATTGTAAACAAAGAGGAAAACTGAATATGAACTGATCCATTTTAATTTTGAGATAATGTTGAAAAAATAAGAAATTATATTTTCATTGCTAGCTCAAGAAAGTCGATTCACTCTTTCTGACGAGACGTTTATTCTCTCCGGAATATATCTTGCATATCTATAAGCCTGTCAATTTGTCTATGCTTAGAATATTGCTACCATATATGATCCGGTGTCTCTGGTATTCACCTGAAGCTCTTTGATAAAGTCCAAAGAAGAATTGGCAATATTATTGGTGCTGATCTGGCGACTCGGCTTTAGTCAATTTCCTACCGCCGTAATTTTCCCTCTCTGAGCCTTTTTTTTATAATTACATTCATGGTATTTTTTTTCGGGTGAGCTCTTTTCTAGGGTACCTAGATTGTATGGGTTTAAGCGGAATACTAGACTGTCGGCGAGATCTCATCAATTTAATAGATGTAGCCGTAAGTAACATTTTCTTTTCCCGCGCTTCTTGCTTGTGGAACTTCCTTCCGGTTCCATTCTTTTGAGCCAACTTTAATCAGCAGAAATTTAAATGCAATGCCATTCGCTATCTTATGTCCTCCTGATTGCTGTTTTCTCTTTCTCTTCATTATTAATGTCTCTGTTCCTAATTCCTCTACCGCCTATAACCCCTTGCATGCTAGTAGCTGTACTGTCTTGCTTCGAGCGATAACGAGTAAAAAATAATAATTTTAATCTGACGCCTGCCTTTGATTTCTCAAGAAATTGTCCTATTTTCCCAGCGTCAACGATGCAGTCTTTTTTTCTGGGGTGGGGGAGGCAATAAGTTTCGAAGATTTTTATAACATACAGGAATCCAATATACCGACTGGCATATATAACCTAGCTCTGGGGTCAGCATAGGGCAACAAATGTCCTAACATTCACATGGTAAATTTTCGTTATTTCAGGAAAAATGTGTTTGTTACTAACTTGCTGCATCATTATTTCTCAGGATCAAGGAACATAAAATGTAGAAGGAAGCCATGAAAATGTTGGCACTCACAGGATATATCGAAAGCAAAAAGTAACGGGTAGGAATCAACAGGCCAATTGTAGAAAAATCACGTGGTCGCGATAAACACTCAGTTGTGGAGCAAGCTAAGTAAATAATAATTCAACCTTGAGAAAGAGCTATTTATGGTGCCATGAAGCATCTCATTGTGCTAAAGTGGGATAGTCCATTGCTTGGGCTGTGATTGGCTGCTGGTACCTGAGTGGAGGTATTTCTATATAAATACCAGCTTGATTCATCAGTTAGTTTGCAGGGTTTGTATTAAGTTACAACCTGCTTTAATTTTGTCTGCCAGCTGGACGCTAGCTGGGACCCTTACGCCGGTAAGTGATGTTTATTGTATTGTTATTCTACACCAATGATCTGATGAACTTATGAGAATGGATGGCAGAATCGTATTTGGAAATTTCGGTAAAATGACAGACATTAATAACAACGATAAATGATAGGAAGTTATGAAGAGCCATGATCGCTCACGTCCTCAAGTTACACAATTAGCTCATTTTAGTGTTTTTATTTCTATCCCTCGACTCTTTTCCAACCAATCGTCTTATCTTCTTTTGTCATTGCTAACGAATTTATAAAAGATCTGACGTCATGATTAAATCAACTCTGACCTTTCGTAGGTTGTTTCACTCTTCGTTAGAGAGAAATAGCCACCCCACCCTAACAAGAATTTATCGTATTTTTTTTTCTTTTACAGTGAACTTCAATGTGAGATCTCTTTTTCTCGCCAGAGTCTGTTTTGTAACTTCATAAGAATACCAATTTCCATGCATCGAATATTGCTACCATTTTTATTCTGGTGCTTTCGTTTTGTATCAATGGATTATTGATAGAATCCAAATGATAATATGCAACGGTGTCAATCTTGGCATCAGCCTCCTACATAAGAATGGCGACAAGAAAACACGAAACAACAATCATACGAAGACAGAATGTATGGTAGTTAGGAAAAGGGACAGTTATTGATCACATGTGTACACAACTCTTTAATTTCCTTGTCTATTATTTTCGTTTTTGAGTATTGTGTCTCTGTTATGGTTAGACAGTGAAGGTTAGAGAGATGCATGGAATATTTTAGAAAATAGTATGGTGAGGAAGGTTAGACAAAGTTTGAGGATAGACCTTTGGCCTTACTTCCGCTGCATCAGTGTGTGAGGGGAGATCAGCACTGGTATTAGCATATACAGGAAATGCAACCGGTAGCTAAAAAAAACCGGACGCACAGGTGTCCTGAACTGAAGGAAATGCGTCCTTGCGTGGATGCGTACCGGAAGAAACCTGGTATAGATAATCTTCCTCTGGAATCAGCACAGTCCAAAGAAAGTCCTAAAATTCACACGATAAATTTTCGTTTCGGGAGAAAAAAAAACGCCGTTACTAACTTACTGCATCCTTACTTCACAAGATCAAGAAACATACAATGTGGAAGAAGGGCATGGAAACTTTGGCACTCACAGGATATGTCGAAGACAAAAACAGGGGGAATCAACGGGCTAATTGACTGATGAAGTTATGAGAATGGATAGCTGAATGGGATTTGGAAATATCGGTAAAATGACAGACATTACTAACAACGATAAATGATAGAAAGTTATGAAGATCCATGATCGCTCAGGTCCTCAAGTTTCACAGTACATAAAATTAGTTTATCGCATTTTATTTATTTCTATTCCTCAACTCTCTTTTCCAACCAATCGTCTTATCTTCTTTTGTCATTGTTAACGAATTTATAAAAAGTTCTGACGTCATGATGGAACCAACTCCGACATTTTGTAGGTTGTTTCACTCTTCGTTAGAGAGAAGTAGCCACCCCGCCCTAACAAAAATTCATCTTTTTTTTTCTTTTAAAGAGAAGTTCAAAGGGAGGTCACTCTTTCTCGTCAGAATCTGTTTTGCAACTTCATAAGAATACCAATTTCGATGCATCGAATATTGCTACCATATTTGTTCTGGTGTTTCTGTTTTGTATCAATGGATTATTGATAGAATTTCAAGAATATTATGCAACGGTATCAGTCTTGGTGTCTTGGCTTTAATCTATTTCTTAGTTCTGTTACATCGCACAAGTTTGACGATTCTATAAACACATATAATAGTTCAAATGAGCTACGGTTAGAATGGGAATTCAGGATATAAATACTGATAAATACTGGTTTCAGAAATGGAACATAACGACGAAACGATTCAATATTTACGGAGAGGATATCCTTAGGGAATTAGGAGTCCTACCAGGATTATTTATTAGTGTCAACAATGTTAACGCCATAAGAGTGACAATGTTGTGTTAAGAGCAGACAACAGAAAAGTAACCACAGCAACTCCTACATAAAAAAGGCGAGAAGAAAGGACAAAACAACTATGTTACGAAGACAGAATGTGTGCTCGTTAGGAAAAGTGGCAGGTCAACAAGCGAAATAAGAATTGGAGACATCAAAATCAAGCGGGTGCAAAAATATAGATTAAGCTTATCAGAAAGCCCTATAAAGTTGAAGCGGGAAACCTGGCCCGACGCAAGCAGGGAACGGGAAGACCTGCCCATGGAAGTTTGTCACTGTAGAAGATGTGTACAAAAAGTAGCCGTGAATCTTGATAATTCTGACAGAGAAACAGGTAAGTGTAATAAGGGGGGGAGATACTAATGGGTCGAGATATAAAACTGTCAGGAGAAAAAGAATCAAGCGTGCTATTAGATGTTGGCACTGTGGCAAGGATGGCCACATTAAGAGATCGTGTACACTACGAGCATCGGGAAAGGTCAGGGGTCCGTTCGTAGGAATCCCAGATAACAACATAACAAGATGGTACTGACGCCCATATTTGGTAATATGGGCACCCCAAATTTCGTTTCCATTAAGGTAGAAGGTAGAAATTATAGAGATTTCGTAGATACAGGGGGGAGGTATCAGTCATAAGCTGTGGTTTAAAGTATTTCGAACGGGGCCTGAATTGCAGAGGAATGACGTCAGTTTTCAGACAGCTAATGGGTCCTCATTTGTTATACCTGAACGTACCTATTCTATTATTAATAAACTCTCCCACACGTAATAAGTAGTAGTAGTAGTAGCGGTCGCAGGTGGGCTCAGTGGAGTTGAGTGAGTCTG